TATTTTAATCGTTGTTCCAGCTCGCTGTCCGTTTACTTTTCCTGGTCTATTTCCGTTTGAATCAGTCCGTGTGTTCTCCTTTGTTTGTCTCGTTGCATGATTTATTGGCCGTCGGCTTGCTAGGCCGGTCACGGTTTCATCAGAGCCCCTTTAAGGCTCGTGTCCATTGGGACAGAAACATACCATACTTTACTACAGGCCTTCTCAGCGTGCGGCTAGGGTCTCGGACTGGGGGCCTACTTGTATCATTTAAGTATTAACCTCTATTTATCCAGTTGACTCCATATTCAGTCTCTGAACATTATTTCCAAAGGTAATTACAATATTTAGTTCGAAGTGACATAAAAATAAAGAGCTACTTATAGTTATTTATTTACTACTTAGCCATATTACTATTAGATCTGTTATGCAATTCGGAAAAAAAAATCATTTTATAAACACAAGAAATCAACGTCCATATAAAACAATCTATGACTAGATCTATTTACTGTACATGCCTTATAAATAAGTAGGGGCCTACTTACCAGGCCAGTTTTGTGTTTCTCTGTAGTATAATCCTTGTATCCAGGTGAAATAAGGGTGGGAAATATCGAACAATGTACGATTAAACGCTCCAAAAGTCAGACTGTTGCGTTGCTTTCTGCTGTGTTTTTTTTACAGACATTGATCACATCAATTATTAAACTGAACATTTTGCACAAAATTTCTTCTACTATCAGTTTCCTTCTTCAATGGATTGCAGTGTATGTCTGTTCAATTATGATAATTTCAACATTTTCAGTGCAGGTTCTTTTGAAGAGCGAGGAGTGGAAGCGTAACAAAAGTTTTTTAAAAAGGTGTTTGCCAGAATCCGCCCGTGTTTCTCTTTCATATTTCGATCTCAAAACTGTCAGACAGCACCATGGTTAACTCGCAGAAAGATGTTCTGCAGAGTCTTTAACGATATTGAACAAAAGAAAAGCAAAGAAGGTCCACTGACATGCTCTGTCAGAAGGGATATTCAAGCCGCCTCTATCCAAGGAGCTTGTGTAGTGGCCGTACTTTTGGTAGTAGAAGGTTGTCTGTCCGAGTTGAGAAATTTCATCCAGCTCTTCGTCTTTGCGAGTAGCATAGCCAGCATATAAACCAGCACAGATTTTGTCTCTGTACAAAGTGACTCCTCCAATTCAATTAGATTGTCCACAGTTTCAGAAGCCCTTTCGTCTGTTTCAATGTAAAAATTGCAATCGAAGCCGGAATGACCAGGTTCTTCAAGGTTTGAAAGGTCTGTATTAAGAGATAGAAGTAGTCTTGATCTGTGAATTTTGATATTTCCACAATTTGCTGAATGTTAATAAAGTATGTCCCTCCTGAGCCCTGTGACATATTTATGGGAGGACTGAAGTAACCGTCTACAAAGTTTAACAGGTTCACCTTCATAATCATCTGGCCAGAGTAGTTCACACACAACAGTTTCTTTGGAAACTGATAACTTCGCATTGGATATCACAGAAATCCATGCATTTCTTTTAATCTCATCCTTCGGGAATCTAAACACAGACACTTTCTTTTAACTTGAACTCGCTTTCTCTGAAATAGATTTTTACTTTGTTCTGCAACCAAAAACCTAACATTTCCTGCCCATAATGGAAACCCAAATGACAACAACCACACATGCTTCGAAAACCAAATGTTTACCAGTGAATCTAAGAATATTTTCATGAGTTTACACACTGTTGTTGGCGGTCATGAAATGCAATGTTGGATTCAATAAGAAAGGCAGAATGAAGAGTCTGGTACGAGAGAGACACTTCTTGACTGTACTGGAACGATAACACCTATTGAATCCACACTTCACAGTTCTATCATGAACAAAGAAACCACGTTGAGCTATTATATCCAGTACAATGAACATATTGATGAATAAATATATCATTTAATGCACAACACGACGCTTTGAATCAATTGAACATTTGATTTTGCCGGGCTTTCGAAAGACTTGCTAGACAGCAAGAAAGGACTGATTTTACACAGTACGCAGCTCACGCTTGCACTTGCACCGAGGAGTACTGAGGACTAGATTACACACTATACAGGACTCTGGTGTGCCAAGGCAGGAGCGACGTATCTGCACTTTTTATGATTTTGAGTTACGTCGCGGTGCCATTGAAAATGAAATGGGCATGGCTCTTCAGTTACGTCTGTTTGCCACAGTGAAATATTCTATTTGTAGTGCAGATGCGTCTTCCTGCCTTAGACACAAGAAGCAAAATGGGTATAGGCGTCCATTTAAACGAAGATGCAAAAACTAATTAAATTTTTTTGCAGATACATCGATCTGCAATCTAGGTCAGTAGTGTCATGGGCTGACAAAGCAGCGACGCGACACTCGAGAATCAGGGGAGAGAGAAAGGTGTCTAATGTTTCAGTTGCCTCCCTTACAGAAAACACCGTAGGCCCCCAGTCCGAGACTCCAGCCGTACGCTAGGAAGGCCTGTAAGTAAAGAACGCCATGGCTTGG